CCCTGCGGTCCCGCTCGGGCTCCTCCGGGGGCCCGCTGCGGCGCCGGGGGTCGTCCAGGAAGTTCCGCACCGGGTTGGGCTCGAGCACGCCTTCCTGCGGGCAGGGAGCAGGGGGTCGGCGGCGCCCGAGCTGGGCAGCTCCGCCCCACGGGCGCCCACCACTGACCCGCTGGTTGCGCTCGTACTCCGCAATTTTCTCCATCTCCTCGTTCATCTTCTCGATGTTCTGCCTGCGCCGCTCTTCCCACTCCTGGCGGGGGCACGGATGGAGACCCGGCGTCAGAAGATGCGGCCAGCCCCCCGCCGGGGGATGGCAAGGCCAGCCTTTGGCCAGTGTCTGGGAATTCGCTCTCGGCGCGTTCCCCATCCACGGTGGCTGCCTAGGCCAGGCATGGTGGCTCATGCCTGTGGTCCCAGGCCTTTGGGAGGCTGAGACAGGAAGACTGCCTGAACCCCGGAGGTCAAGGCAGTGAGCTGTGATTGTGCCACTGCCCTCCAGCCTGGGCGACAGAGTGAGACCCCGACTGAAAAAATAAAAAAGGAGGGGCCGGGCAAAGCGGCTCATGCCTGTGATCCCAGCACTTGGGGAGGCTGAGGCAGGACGATCGCTGGAGGCAGGAGCGTGAGAGCAGCCAGGGCAACATAGCAAGACTTCAGCAATACAGAAAAATTTTAAAAATTAGCTGGGCGTGGTGGTGCACCCCTGTAGTCCCAGCTTCTCCCGAGGCTGAGGTGGAAGGATCACCTGAGCCCAGGAGGCCGAGGCTGTGATGATCCATGACTGCACCACTGCCCTCTAGCCTGGGCCACAGTACCCCCGATGCAGCAAACTGTGCCTAGACTGTGAAACAACATGCCTGCCCTGCACACTCACTTTCCCCTGGGAGTCTGGGGTTCTGGCATTTACTGGGCGGAGAAGACCACATGGCCAGCCTCCTATTAAAAGCCCTAGGCGCTGAGTCTCTCACGAGTATCCCTGGGAGACACACGCTGCCAGTTCAACGCTGGAGGAATTAAGCACATCTCATGCGTCCCTGGGGCCAGGACTCTCGGAAGCAGTGCCCTGGCCCTTGCTGACTCTGCTCTGTGTCCGTTCACTGGGATAAATCTAAGCCATGAGTCACACCCCACGCTGAGTCGTGTCTTCCCAGCAAATCGCTGAACCCTCTGGTGTCAGGGATCCCAACACACCACAGCTGCCATGACCATGACGGCAAGAACACCCATAACTCGGCAGATGGCTAGGTGACCCTCCACAATCCGTTCTCCCCTTCTGGGATGACAAAATTCTAGGGCCCGTGGCCAGCCAGCTGGAGACATGGTTTCATCCCCCGTCTCCTTTGTGGTGAGGCACGGCAGGCATCCACGGTCTCACCCACAGAACGTGAGAAGGGATCAACCAGCTCTTCTTCCCCCTCCTTGGGGACTGGACCTCAATTGTGGCCACAGCCCAGACAATAACCGTGCCCTGGGACCACCAAGCAACGAAAGGCAGCCCCAGGATCCTTGAGTGACCTCACAGAGCAGGGCCTCCCCTCACCACAGGGCTCAGCTTACAGACAGAAACGAGCTTCTGCTCTACCTGGGCATGGCATTTGGGAATTTTTTGTGCTAGCAGCTTAGTGTGTCCCAACAGTAAACAACCACACTCAGGAAACACTTGCTTGGAAGCCTTCAAAGCCTGACATTGCCGAATGCTCCCGATAGCCTGGAAATCTACTTCTTACTCCTGTGTGAGTCCAGAAACGGGAAGCTCACAGAGGGAGGAGCGCGGCCCGAGGACAGGCAACTAACAGAAGCAGGCCACACCCAAGGCCACTGCAGACCAGAGGCCACTGCGATAAACAGCCTGCTGACCGGCATGTCAGGGCGACTGGAGCGGTTACAAGGTCACTGCCCCCACACACACACTCAGGCACTGACAGACACACAGAGAACAGAGAACACTGCACAGAGCTCATGCACACAAGCCCAACAGACAGAAAGACGTGCCAGAGAGATGAGGAGAGAGGGCCAGCAAGCAAGAATGTACCAGAGAGGGGGGAATGAAAGACAGAAAGAAACTGGGAGGGAACATACTAGACAGGAGGAGATGGGGAGGGTGAGGAGGAGGAGGGGAGAGAGAGTGAGAGAAACACAAAAAGATGCACTAACAGGAAACAGTCCGGCAAAAGAGGAATAGAAGGCCGGATGCGGTGGCTTGCACCTGTAATCTCAGCACTTCGGGAGGCCAAGGTGGGAGGATCACTTGAGCCCAGGAGTTTGAGACTAGCCTAGGCAACACAGCAAAACCTCATCTCTACAAAGAAAATAAAAAAACTAGCTGGGCATGGTGGCATGTGCCTGCAGTCCCAGCTACTCAGGAGGCTGAGGCAGGAGAATTGTCTGAGCCCAGGAGGTCGAGGCTGCGATGAGCAATGATCCTACCCCTGCACTCCAGCCTTAGTGACAGAGCGAGAGAGCAGGACTAGAGAGAAATGAGACAGCAGCAAGCCTCGGCCATGGGCTTCAGGCCCTGCCCAGCTCCTACCTTGGATTTGCGGTCAGAGGCTGAGGTGTCACTGGCTCCCGAGAGATGAGGGGACCCCCGGCCACGGCCCCTCCGGCCACGGCCCCCAGCTCCTCCTCGAGGCTGCTCCCCGGAGCCGTCCTCCCAGCCACGCACTGTCCGGCCCATGCCTGCCCGGCCTCCCTGCTGTCGCCCTCCCTTGCTGGGCCCTGGGGGCCGAGGGGTCCCAGGAGACCTCCGGGAAGGACCCAGACTCTTCTCCTGGAAGGGGGAAGGGAGAAAATGTAGTCACGGGGAGAGAGAGACTCGGACACTCCAAGCAGAGAGGGCAGCTCCCAGGATCAAGGCCACCCAGTGTGGGGGCTCCTGGACCCCAGGCCTCAAGCCTCTGCCCGCCTCACACCCCATGATGAGCTCACCACCTCGACTGCCACATTCTCCTTCTCCACCGAGCGGCCCTTCCGGGGAGCCGTCACAGCTACTCCCTCAAGTTCAGCTTTTTTACGATCCTCCTCGATCTCCTAGGGACAAACAATCCAGGGTCGGGGGTGTCAGACACCCTATGTGACACCCCCAGCTCAGTTCCCACAGCCCCTGTATCTCCCCCTAAGTCTGGCTCAGGATTCTCTCCTGAGTTCGACAAGAAAGCTGGGCATTTCTCTCGAACCCCAGCACACGGTGCCCTGGTTAGAACTCTCCTGTGATCATCTCTGATGACAGCCTTCCTCCACAGCCTGAGAGACCCTCCAGGGTCAGACTCACTGCCTCCTGCCCTTATCTCTCACTCACTCCTGTTCAATCACTCTGGCTTCCCTGCTGTTCCCAGAACAGACCAGGCTCAGATTTGCCTCAGGGCCTTTGCATCAGCTGATTGCTTTCCCAGAAATGCTATTTCCCCAGAGATTCTTCATGCTCTCACCATCTTCAAGCCTCGGCTCAAATGCCCCCTTCTCAGCCAGGCACACTGGCTCACGCCTGTAATCCCAGCACTTTGGGAGAAGGAGGTGAGAGAACTGCCTGACTCCAGGGATTCAAGACCAACCTGGGCAATTTGGCAAGACCTTGTCTCTACAATAAATTAAAAAATTAACCAGGCGTGGTAGTGCACAACTACAGTCTCAGCTACTCAGAAGGCTGAGGAGGGAGGATTGCCTCAGTCCAGGAGGTTGAGGCTTCGGTGAGCTGTGATCGTGCCACTGCACTCCAGCCTAGGTGACAGAGTGAGACCCCAACACCCCAAAAAAGATACATTTTAAAGGCAAAATAATAAAACGAAATAAAAATAAGAAACGAGTGTGCCTGCTGTTCTCTGTTCTCACTCCTCCTCACTGCCTGGCACAATGTGCACTTACTGCTGGCCTTTTCCACCATGACAGACTCTGTCTGAGGACAAGGACAGCTGTCTGTTTTTTTCTTTTGAGTTGGAGCTTCACTCTGTCGCCCAGGCTGGAGTGCAGTGGCACGCTCACAGTCACTGCAGCCTCAACCTCCTGGGCTCAGGTGATCCTTCCGCCTCAGCCTTCCAAGTAGCTGGAACTACAGGCATGTACCACCATGCCCGGCTGATTTTTTGATTTATTGTAGACACGAGGTCTCGCCAAGTTGCCCAGGATGGTCTTGAACCTGCAGTCTCAGGCAATCCTCTCACCTCTGCCTCCCAAAGTGCTGGGATTATAGGCATGAGCCCCTGTGCCAGCCGTTTCTGCTTTTTCCATTGACACATATCCCAAGCCTAGAACCCTACCTGGCACACAGCAGAAACTCAATATGCTTTTTTTTTTCCAAATGAATGAATGCATGAAGAATGAATAAATGAAACCCACGCCTCCTCCTGGATCCCCCCCAGGGATGGCCGCACTGCCTACTCTTGGGCCCTCTCCTGGGCCCTCCCCCTCGCCCCCAACTGCCCATGGGTAACTGACGAGTCCCTCTCAACAGCCTGGCCCTGAGTAGGTACCTGGAATCCCTGCCTCAGTGTCCTCTCTGGTCTCTAGGTTCCAGCATCACCTCCTCCCACCCACTCCCACATAGCCACCAGGGACGTCTTCCTAGAAAGCTGGGGCAACCTGGTCCCACCCCTGCTCAAGCCCTCTGCGGCACCCCCAGCACCCTGAGGAGAAAGGCTCAACTCTCGGCCTGACAGCAGTCAGGGTCCTGCACAGTCTGGCCCCTGCTGGTTCCTCCGGGTCAACTCTCCCCTAACGGGCCCTCTAGTTTCGAGTTCGAAGCTCTCTTGCTTCCAAATATTTACACAAGCCCTTCCCTCTGCCTGAAACACATTCCCCTCTACTTTTCTTTTTTTTTTTTGAGTTGGAGTCTCACTCTGTCACCCAGACTGGAGTGCAATGGCCGCGCCCAGCCACCGCAGCCCCGACCTGCTGGGCTCCAGCAATCCCTCCGCCTCCGCCTTCCGTAGCTGGAACTACAGGCATGTGCTACCATGCCCGGCTGATTTTTGATTTATTGTAGAGATGAGGTCTCGCCAGGTTGCCCAGGCGGGTCTCGAACCCACAGGCTCAGGCAATCCACTCACCCCAGCTTCCCAAAGGCGCGGGATTACAGGCTGAGTCACAGAGCCCGGCTCCCTCCCCTTTTCAACTGGCTAACATCCAGTCACCACTCAGGCGTCAGAGTACCCTTCTCCAGGAAGCCCTCCCTGAAATCCCCCAGACTGGGTCGGGAGTCCCCTTCTGAACTGGCACAGAGCCCTGGATTTCCCCATTCCAGCCTTGTCTGCTGCGGGTCATCAGCAACTGAGGGCAGGACCATGTCCCTGTCAAGACTGTGACCCTGGAAGGGCAGGTCTGCATCATTCCCAGCTGCAGCTCCCCTCAGCGCAGAGCCTGGTACAATGAAGCCCTTGGTGATTACTTGCGAATGAACAAATGGAAATGGAATGAAGGAAGGAATGTCAGGCTAGGCCTTCGGCTTTTATCCTGACAGTGATGGGGAACCATGAAGAGATTTTAAGGAAGGGAGAGGTGAGAAAAACTCACTGCGGGGAAGAGAGGGGGTGGGGTCTCCCAGGGCGGGGCTAGGGCACCTGGTAGCGCCGGATGAGGGCCTCATTCTTCCGCCGAAGCGCCTCGATCCTCTTGTCCAACTCGGCATCCTTCTCCTCCTTCGATTTCAAATCCAGGGTGGCTGCCTGAGACCGGGAGGCGTTGGGGGCCGGAAGGAAAGCTCTCCACCCGCACCAGACCACTCAAGCCAGGGGCCGAGAGTCTGCCCCCCGGGGCCCCTCCACCAAGCCCTCTCCCCAGAACTGAAATCCTGGCGACCCCACTTTCAGTCTCACCATCGCGCCGGCCGGGTGGGGTCGGGGTCCCAGCAAACCTCGCCTTCAGAATCCCGAGGCAGCACTGGGGCTTCCTGGGAGCAGAGGGGACAGAAGGACTAAGGCCAACGGCCCCCCAGTCTGCTTCGTCCCCTCCCATATCGCGGCTCCTCACAGACACACCCCCAAAACCCGGACACCCAGACACCTCCCACCCTCGCTCTCATGCCCGCTGCCGGCGCCAGCCCTGCCCCCGCCCTGGAAAAACGGAGACTCTGCCCCGCCCCGGCCTTTGGGGACACCCGCTCCCCGCGTAAACACAGTGGCCAGCCCCACCGCGGAAGGAAACACCCAGCACCTGCTCTCCTCCGGACAGACTCCGGTCCAGCCCCCACGTCCCTGTGGGAGGGTTTCTGGCCGAGTCCCCGCCCTCAAGGGCGCTCCGCTGCTCGCTCTCCCAGCCAGCCGCACAAGCAATTCCACGCCCACCGCCCCGCGCCCGCGCTGGGGCCGCTCACGTCCGGGCGGACGTTCTAACCCTGGCAGAGACTTCCCCAACCGACACTCCCCAAACTGCGCGAACCCCACTCGTGCGGGCTGTCCCGGCACTCGCAGGACATTCTCAGCCCAGGCCTTCTCCGGGGATGTCCGGCCTCCGGCGCCCGGCGAAAGGCACGACGGCCTCCCGCCTCCTCCGAAAAGATTCTGAAGAAAGGCCCGGAGCCCACCGGCCAGGCTTCCAGCTCGATCACCCCAGGAAACCCTCGACCCGACGAGGACAAAACTTCCAAGGCCCGCCCACGGCTTTGCAGCGAAAGGCTCCAGCCTCAAGCCCGAAGGAAAGCCAGGGCCCCGCCCCCAGCTTCCCGAGCCAGCGCGCTAACTCGGCCTCCGACGCGCCCGGCAAACTTCCTGGCCACGCCCCCGAGTAAGCCCCACCCCTGCCTCGTTGCGTCATATCTGGCCCGCCTCCCTGCTTCCCCGGCCGAGGTTCTGCCCCGACCCCAGCAAACCCGCCAACGCGCTGGGGCCAGCGCCTCTGGCTCCAGCAGAACTTTCTGGCTCCACCCCCAGCATACCCCGCCAGCATTCTGGTCCCGCCTTCTGGCTCCCCGCCACACTTCGGTCCTCCGCCACATTTCTGCCCAGCCCCTGCCTTCGCGTCAGCCTCGGGATCCGCCGCAGACCGCCCGGCCAACGACCAGGACCCATCTCCAGCGCCAACAAAACTTTCTGGCCCCGCCCACAGCGTTCTCGGCCAGCGTCCCGGCCCCGCCCCACACCTCTCCCGGCAATCTTTTGGCTCCGCCCCCAGCCCGGGCACAACTGCCCGACTCCGCCCC